GGAGATGTTTGTCTGACTGTGCTCACAAATCATGACCCCTTCCCCGTGGCCAGCGGCGCCGGTGGGACATAACCGGGATAACCTTGGGGCTGGAGTCACAGCGGTTGTGCGGTAAGCACAAGAGTCTAACGTTTAACGTGCAGCGGGTTTAGGACTAGGAATGCAGCGCGCCCTCGCTTCTGACCTCTGAGGATTGAGTCATAGGTGGCCATTTTAATACAAAGGTGGGGAAAAATGCATTAATTGCTTTCCTTTTTAAATCCAATTTGGTTGGTTGATTCAGTTGTGTGATTCACGGTTGTCAGAGTGCCAGCGAAGTATCTCCTCACAGGCTGGGAAGCTTTATTAGTGGGATTGCCTCCGAACGGAGGCTAAAACTTCAAAGCTTGGAGAAAAGCTTGGAAAAAAGCTGTGTTTCGGGGATGCCATGGCACGAGCAGAACACCCTCCTTTCCAATCATCCCTCACAAATCTTGTATTTTTTCAGCTGTTGTTTATATTCATTGGAGGCCTCCTTAGGATGTCATCATCTTAAACAGGGCACTTTGAAGAATGAGAGGGGCTGGGGGGTGGGGAGGAGGTTTCCTGAACCCTGCAGTTTTAAAATGCAAACCAAATTACACTGGAGCCGGAGAGGAAGGAGAACTTCCAAACAAGCAATTGCTAAAATAGCCTGCAAATAGCTGTCCGGTGACTTGGGCTGTGTTCAGGAACCTTGCTCTCAGCAACAGCCCCCTACTTGTAATATTAATGTGTGGCATCGGTTAATTTGTAGCTGACTTAGTGTTAGCATCGCGATAACATTTTTAAGTGAGTAATCTCAGTTCACTGAGGTTTATGAGACTAATTTTCAACATATCTGACTCTCCTTTGGAGAGGAGACCCTGAGTCATACAGTGTTGTGCTTTGGGCGGGGTGTTTTTCCTTTACTCTCCAGCACCTGTGCTCAAGGTGCCCTCTTTTAGAGGGCTCATGAGCCATGGTGTCTGTTTTTCTCTCGTTAGAGCTGGAGAGCAGGATGTTGGAAATAAATAGGTAAAACTGGTGACACCGACAGGATCAGTGTTGGTGGGAAAGCTGCGGGGTGCCTCTTATCAGCCTGGTCCTCTCTCGGAATTAGGCTCCTGCATTTGTGTATCTTCGGCATACTTGAAATCCTAACATTGTCAAGCAGTGTTGGTGCTAAGCAGGAGGAGCAGGTAACCTTAGGGTTTAAAGGTGCTCAAAAAAGCTAAGGTGCATTCATTTCCACAGCTTTCCCTCCTTTTCTTTCAAGTGGAGAAAATAAGCTAATGTGATCAGCAGGTCCTTATGACACACAGATGTAAGGATTGGGAATATCCCCTGGGATTTCAGCTAATTAGTGACACTATTGCAAACCAGCAACCCTCCTTACTCCAAAGGGGAACTGTGAAGCGGAGCGCTGACTGCTGAGATCCCCTGGAAAAAAGGGCTTCTCGCTAGTGCTGGCTGCAGTGAAGGGCGACTCACGTGGGCCCCCGTGATGCGGGACGCGAGGCGCTCGCCCTCGCACCCCAGCACCTCTGCTCTGCTCTGCTTGCAGCCACTTCACAGCTCCATCCTGCTCTTCAGTTGTCCCTTCTCCCCCGGCTTTGCAGGGCAGTAGGGACCGAGCATACCTGGCAGCTGACCTCACGTCTCCTGGTGTGCGGGGAGGGCAAGCAGCTCGGTATTGTCTGTAACAACATCTCAGCATCTGAAGGAAATTAACCCAGGGGATCTTGTATGCACCAGGATGTCTGTCTTAGTGCCTTAAATATTCAAGACTGAACTCTTAGAGATTTGTTTGCTAATTCAGCCCAGTATTAGTTTCTCAATAGGCTGTGCTTGCCTTCTTGACGCATGCTTTGTAGGAGCGAACAAGGCAGAGGGATTCGTGCTGTTCATTGCCAGTGAAGCTGTGTGCGGGTGGCTTGGGTTCAGCTAGCGATCGAAGCACAAGTGGTTTGCACCTCTTGAAAATGATTGCTTTAAAAGGTCAGCTTCAAACCGTAGAAGAGGAAATGAGGGAAAGGTCTCCAAGGATGAAGTTGCACGTGCTAATTAGTGAGGCTACAATCTACCTGCCTTGCCTGCTGCTAATATGTAAAACAGCAAATACGAGAGTCTGCCTGAACCTTCCTGTCCAGACCGCAGGCTGCGGAGCGAAGCCGGAGCGGCCTCGTGGTAAGCTCCACATTGAGCTCTGTGGCGAGCTCCACGTTGAGCTCCACGTTGAGCTCCACGGTGAGCTCCACGGTGAGCTCCACGGTGAGCTCCACGGTGAGCTCCACGGTGAGCTCCACGTTGAGCTCCACGTTGAGCTCCACGTTGAGCTCCACGGTGAGCTCCACGGTGAGCTCCACGGTGAGCTCCACGGTGAGCTCCACGTTGAGCTCCGTGGCGAGCTCCATGGTGAGCTACACGTTGAGCTCCACATTGAGCTCTGTGGTGAGCTCCACATTGAGCTCCATGGTGAGCTCCACGTTGAGCTCCACATTGAGCTCTGTGGTGAGCTCCACGTTGAGCTCCACATTGAGCTCCGTGGCGAGCTTGGCGGCACCGCGTCTCGGTGCAGAGCGGTAAGCAGCCGTGCGCTCCACGGGCACCAGCACCCGGCTCCAGCTCCTCCTCAGAGATGCCGATGAGGGCCGGGGCTCCCTCCCTCCCTCCACCAGAACGTGGGAGCAGTGGCTGGCACCCGCGGGCTGCACTGCCGTTCGGAGGCACCTCAGCACCCTGCGGAGGCGGGTGGAGAGGAACCCCGCGCAGCTGGGCAAAGGGAGGTGCAGAGCCCTGCGCCTGGGGAGCAATAACCAGCACAGGCCCGGCAGGAGCTGCGGGGAAGAAGGACCCACAAGTGCTGCAGGAGGACGGGTGGCTGAGCCAGCAAGGTGGCCCTGCGGCCAAGGAGGGCACTGGTGGCCCGGGGTGCCTGAGAAGGAGTGTTGGCAGCAGGGCAGGGGAAGCAATTCTGTCTCCACTTGGGACAAGAGGCAGTGGGCACAGTCTGGAACACAGGAAGGCCTGTCTGAGCTTTGGGAAGGACAGTTTTCCCATGAGGGTGACTGAGCATGGGCACAGGTTGCCCAGGGACATTGAGGAGCTTCCATCCTTCCTTGGAGATGCTTAAAAGCCACCTGGACACAGTCTGGGCAACCTGCTTTAGGTGGCCCTGCTTGAGCAGGGGAGATGGATCCAGTGATTTCTAAAGGTCCCTTCCAACCTCAGCTATTCTGTGTTTCTGGTCACACACACACACACACAATTACAGTAACCTTCAGTTGTTCAACTGGACAAATATTTCAGAAATTTGCCTGACTTCTACTGAGCTTTGTAGAAATACGCTGTTCTTAGGGGAGGTTGGAAGTTTTCTTAAGAATAAATAAATAAATCTTTTATTACAGTGCAGCTGTGCAGTGCAATAATAGTGCATTGGCATCTAGCAGTAAATCCAATTTGTTTTCAAACAGGAAGTTTTGGAATAAAGTTAACAAAAATCTTCAGTTAAGAGATTTGAGCTCTAACAACAGCCTGGTGGAATAATTAAGTAATTCCATCACTTTCTATTGGCTGTGGGAATGTATAGATGTATTGAAAACAGGGATAGATAGAATGTGTAATGCTAAATAGATAGAATGTATAATGCTAAATATCATCATTTCTGTGAGGTTTTTGGTTTGTCTGCTTTTGCTTTGTGGGCGTGCAGGCCACTTCCCACGGAGCAAGTTTAGCTCTGCCCCACCGAGTAACTGGTGTCTGCCACCAGCCAGCGGCCCAGGCCTCTCCTTAGCGAGAAGCAACTCTTGTGTACCAAGCAGCTTAGTTAGCTACTACATCTTAAACTTTTCTTCCCCTAGGATCTACCAATAACTTATTTTTTTGCCCTATGGTGGTGATGGGATCTGTAATGTGAAAGGAGCCAGAAGTTTTTCGGCTTGTGCCCTCCTTTGGACCCAGCAGCAAGCTCGTATGTGAAACGAAAGAGGAAACTCTTCTGCAGCCAGCCCACATCTAGCACAGAGAAAATGGCACCTGTGTTCAGGTGGATAGGTGAAAGAATTGTGGAAAATGGGGCACATCGAGTTAATTTGTGACATTGTCGAGCCTGGTTTTAACTGATTAGCTGATCAGAATGTCAGTCCTGGCAAAGTCCGTCCTTCTTAGTCTGCTGTGATCTGCTCCTCTTCACTGAAACTCCTCTTCAGAACTTGCTAGGAACTTCTGCCAGTGCAAACCATTTATGCAGTGAGGTCTTTTTCTGTACTGCAGAGTGGAGTGGATCTTGGTGAGAACCTTCTTGGCCAGTTTTGACTCAGAATAGTCCCACTGATACTGAGCCCCGGAAACTTAGTGCTGGGAGGAGGCCTGGCCCTGTAGGGTTGGAGTTAATCACAGCAATCACCGTGTCCTTTACAGAGCCTAATCTCCCGTAATTGGATTTCAGATATTTACCTGCCCTGCCACCCTCCTGCCCTCCTAGGGCTCACACAAAGATCTGGGAAGCATCCAGCAGCCCTTCATTGCCCGCTTCACGCCTCCCTCCATAAAAAGGGGCCACTAACAACCGCCCAGCCAGCTTTCCCCAGGAAAGTTTTGGATTAGCTGTTTTCACCTCTTCTGTGTTACTGGACTGATAGCAACTACAAAAGCACTCATGTTACCCCTTTTATTATTATCTGCTCATTCATTTTATTATCTGCTCAGCATGAGTCTTTGCTTAACCTGCAATATTTCAAAACAAGCAGAAATGCAAAGGACAGCAAGTGGTATATTGCAGTCTGCGTTGGTTACTAAATGCGGTTGTGCCAGTGTCTAGTTTTCCTTCCTACTCCTTTGGTTGTAGCAAGTATCCTGCGAGGATACTGCAATGGCTTTGAATGCCACACAGCACAAGGAACGCTAACCTGCTCTAAGGTTATTTACCCCAAGCGTTAGTCCCTGCAGGTTGGCATTAATTAACACGCTGGGAATGTCTTTCTCCAGACGGGCTGCCCGATGCGCTGCCGCTGAAGGGTCCCTCGCGCCGCCGCTCGACATGGAGCCCAAAGCGACCGGCCTGGCGTTCGGCTGCCAGCGGAGCTCCACGTCCGACGACGACTCCGGCTGCGCCTTGGAGGAGTACACCTGGGTGCCGCCGGGCCTGAGGCCGGAGCAGGTACAGCCCCCCGGGCTTCGTGTCTTTAAAGCAACCCCAGGAGGAGCTGCTGCAGGGAGTGGTACCCTGCGGAAGGGCCTTAAGTGTTTTCACATGTATACAGGTCTTCTTAGGGTTATTCTTAAAACTTTTAGCTTCTTGCTTTGTTTAATAGTCCAGTCAGACAGTCTTAGGGGAGCTTAAAATCCCGGTCATTCAGGAATAAATTAAAAATGTTTTTTTAGTTGTATTAGTCTAGTATTTTCAATAAATGTGTGTCACACAAGTATTTATTGTAGAGTCAATGCAGCCCAGAAAACACTCACTTTCTCCTTGAAATAGGTGTCTTGGTTAAACTCGTGCTCGTGGCATTCCTTGTGGCACTGTGTTACCTGGGTAGTACTTAACTGGTTTCATACAACCCTTTGCCTAAATAACTAGGGATTTGACAGCTAGACAAATGAACGTTACCATAGCACACCAAAATGAAAGTATTCTGTCATTTTGACAATCGCTAACATATTTTACCTTAGTTTAAATAACTGTATGTCTGCCAGGATTTCTCCCATGCATTCACTGGAGCAGCCACTTGTGGCTCGGGAGCTGCTCGTGCACTTCCCTTCTCCCTGCTCCCCTTCCTCCGTATCCATTAGAACATAACACTAATGGAAACACAAGTTCAGTTATCAGTGAGCAAGTTGCTTGGCAGAACTGAAAAGAAACTCCAATAGCAGCTCTTTAATGATCTTGTAACTGTATACTGAAAAGGTATATTCCGTAATATCCAGGAGCTGAGCTTCACTGTTGAATGGTTATGTGGTGTTAAGTGATTACAGGGACTTCCTGTTAAAGGAGGGAGAGCAACTCTCATGCAGCTGGTCTATATTTACAGTCTATATTTATGAAGATACAAAAGAGGCATCATTTTTGCTACGTAGAGATTTGTATTTAATCATGAATAAATCAACAAGTCGGCAGCAATGGCAAATAAATTGTTACTTAGTGAAATTGTTTTTCTCACTTGAGCGCATATATAAGAATCCTCACAAATTCTGCAAGTTAACGTTTTGCCAGAGCAATTAAGTAAATCCAGTTTATTTAATTGCCTCATATTCCACCTACTGAAACTTATTACAGATTCTTTTTTAAGAAGAATATATGCACATTGGAAACAGTATAATAACCAAACAGGCATGCAGTGTCTTTGCAAGCTTCCTCTTTACTGCACGTTGTTAGTTCCTCCTGCAGCTTTGTTGAATACCATCAGTAGTAGGTGGGCTTACAGCAGATTCTTGATGTTCAAATGCTGGATAAATGAAAGCCAAACAATGTTTCGTGCAAGCTTTCCCATATAATTTTGATTGTTTCCTCAGTCAAGTGACTGATTGTTGCCTCCTTTTTCATCTATCTTGCACGGTAATAAGCTGTTGACCTAAGCGTTATTTAAATCTGGATGGCAAGTAATATTTTTGCCAATAGTCAGGTCTTATTTACTGCCCCAGGCCTTGTGACAAGCTGGAAGCTGCATAGGAAAAACAATAAATCTGTAGCTGTTCCACAAAAATATTTTTTGCCATTGGGCTTTGTCGTAGCATTCATTACAGCTTTCCCGTCGTAATTTTTTTCTGAAAATAATAATAAAAAGAGTGGAGATTGATCTGAAAATATTTCCAAGTAGGTTTGTAGAGCGTGTGTGCAGCCCATGAAAATTTCATAGCTAATTTGTGGCTGATTGACCTGCGGCTGGAGGCAGCCTGCTCGCAAGGCAGGGGCGGTTCTGCCTTCTCCCCGGGGATCACATGGAAGCAATGAAAGCCGATGCCGGGGACGAACCTGATCAGCAGGAGGCTACAAAACAGCTTTTGTCTCCGCAACGTGTAAAATGCACAGAGCAAATTAAACGTGTTTATATAGCGGCTGCTTTCTGGAAAGCTTCATGCCTTGGTGTGCTAAATTGCACAAGGGGACTTGGAATTTCAACAGGCTCGGCGACCGGCCCCGAAGGGGGCGGCAATAATGAGAACATTAAATGTGCATAATTTATGATACCCCTAATTGTCACTGCAAATTGCATTCCAGAAAAGCAATTCAGCAGCTGGGTGCTAAGCTGTAGCAGAGGCAATTCCGGTTTGCTGAGTTCGTTCCTCTGGGTCTCGTAGTTTCGGCGCAAATCCTGTCACGGCTCTAATGTAGCATGGCCTTTCCCCTTGGCAAAGGAGACCTGGGATGAATGGTGGCAGAAGGAACCAGGCTTTGGTGTTGGGTGTCTCTGGGCCTGAGTCCTGCCTGTCTCCTTTCCAGGTACAGCTCTATTTTGCCTGCCTGCCGGAGGACAAGGTCCCGTACATTAACAGCCCCGGCGAGAAACACCGGATTAAACAGCTGCTCTATCAGCTGCCGCCGCACGATAATGAGGTAAAAACGGAGCTTGCAGAGGAATGCTCCTGCCTGCTGCTGTTACCTGAGCATTCCCTACCCGCGTGTTCCTGACTCAGCAGCCTCAGCTGCTGCCCTCCCTGGCATCTCTCCCTGGAGCCGCGTGGGGCTGCCGCTGCCCCCTTTGTTTGGCCGCGCTAGATAAGGGCTGTCTGGAAGGGCGCTGCCTTGGCCTCTTGGGAAGGCTGGTGGCGGTGCAATAAACTTCCCACGGGTCGGTTTTATAGTGTTTGCAGCCACCCAGCAATCCCAGGAACCTCAGATTCCTGGGATTGCTCTGCAGCGCACAGAAAGGATGCGCTGTGACAGGGAGCACCTCGTGCTCCACGTATGCGGCGTGAGCCGGGGAGAAGCCGAAATAACAACCAGCCTCTCTGTGCTGGGGCGGCAGGAGCGGGGCCAGGGCCTTGAGAGCCTGGGTGTACTGCACGACTGAGCTGGGCTGTGGGCATTGAAACATAAATCTGCGTGACTGATATGGCTGTGATTGGTTTTAGTTTCAGTCAACTACTTAGGTGAAGCAATGAGTTTTGGTTGCCTTTCTAAAATACTGCTTTCTGCCTGGACTGCTTCTTCATTTGGCATATATTTTTCTCTAATGCAAGATATCTCTCGATACGAGGCTTGTATTGTGCTACACTAACCAAAAATAGACTGCAGAGAAGCTAGAAAAGTTTAATAATGATTGCCAGCATGCCTAATGTCTTGCATATGTTTGCTCAGTTATATATTTTGTTTGCTTAGTTATTATATACTTATATATATGTAATATATATATATTTAAAATCTTATGATCTAAAATAAGTGTTTTGGGGGGGGGGGTTCTTTTGTGGCAGGTGAGATACTGCCAGGCTTTAAGTGAAGAAGAGAAGAAGGAGCTGCAGATGTTCAGTTCTCAGCGCAAAAAGGAGGCCCTTGGCAGAGGCACTATCAAAGTGCTCTCCAGGGCTGTGATGCACGCGGTCTGCGAACAGGTAACGTGCTCCTAGGGCCGCAAGCGAACCTGCAGCAAGGATAATTTAAGACTTCAATATCCTTCTATTAAATGTAGGCTTCTGGCTCCTTACGTTTGAGCTCTGAAAAGAAAATTAGAATATTCCTAAAGCTGCACGTAAATACAATGAAGGTAGAGCAAAACAAAACATGATTAGGAATGTACTGAATATGTGATGTGTTTCCTACTGCAAAAAGCTGCTCTTATTCTTACTGAAACAAATGCACATGAAAATCAGGCATACATGTGAAATTATTTCTCTGTATAAAATAAACTTCTGCTGACGGATGCCCACAATTTGTCTATCCCAAGATTAAGAATTTTTCCTTCCTTTTGACTAAACTGTGGAGTAAGACCTGTGGGCTGGGCCTGGTGTTGGGAAGGCGCGTGTCCGGGGCCGGGCGGGAAGTGAATTCTCCCCTGGTTTCGCTCCTAGTGCGGCACCAAAGTGAACGGCGGCGAAGTCGCCGTCTTCGCCTCGAGAGCTGGGCCCGGCGTGTGCTGGCACCCCTCGTGCTTCGTGTGCTTCACCTGCAACGAGCTGCTCGTCGACCTCATCTACTTCTACCAGGATGGAAAAATTCACTGCGGCAGACACCACGCTGAACTTCTTAAGCCTCGGTGCTCAGCCTGCGATGAGGTAAGGAACTTGCATACATTTTGTGTCAGGCCACACATCTATTACTGCTTAGCTGACAAACTGCCCTGCCTGTTTGGGCAGTTACTGGCTTCAGATGAATCCCTTTATAGCAAGAAAAAGTCTGATGCGGAGATATGTTTGAAAGGTGAAGGTTGCTTCATTCCTTAATACCACAAGCAATGTGACTGTGTTTAGAAAACACCTCCCTGCCCCTAGCTGGAATTGAATTCTGTACCCTGAGTTAGAGAAAGGATCTGTACAAATATGCCAGGATGCTCTCTTAACAGCAGCCTTTTCAATTGTTCAAATACTCTTTACAACATATACTTTTCTTTTTAAGAGATTAGAATGCCACGTAAGATCTTTTTTGCTGTCTTTGTATTCCCAAAGCAGCTAAATAAAATGGAATTATTTGGTCTGCTAACTGTTCAAAATAGATATTTTACTTGCTCTGTGTCCTAAGGCGAGATTCTGACCACTTAACCAAAGGGTTTCTTTTCTGCTTTTGCAGATCATTTTTGCTGATGAATGCACGGAAGCCGAGGGCCGCCACTGGCACATGAAGCACTTCTGCTGCCTGGAGTGTGAGACCATCCTGGGCGGGCAGCGCTACATCATGAAGGACGGCAGGCCCTTCTGCTGCAACTGCTTTGAATCTCTCTACGCAGAATACTGCGAGACCTGTGGGGAACACATTGGTAAATATGCCCCTCGGCAGCATTTTACATTGATAAAAGTCAATCTAAATCCATTTAAAAGCCAATCTCACATTTCAGAAGTGGTGGATTGTGCAAGCAGTTCTGTTAGAGAACCCACCGTGTCGCCCTCTGTCCCTCTCTAGGGGTTGACCACGCTCAGATGACCTACGACGGGCAGCACTGGCACGCCACGGAGACCTGCTTTTCCTGCGCTCAGTGCAAGACCTCTCTGCTCGGCTGCCCCTTCCTCCCAAAGCAAGGGCAGATCTACTGCTCAAAAACCTGCAGCTTGGGTGAAGACGTTCACGCCTCCGACTCGTCCGATTCTGCCTTCCAGTCCGCGCGATCCAGAGACTCCAGGAGGAGCGTCCGGATGGGCAAGAGCAGCCGCTCGGCCGACCAGTGCCGCCAGTCGCTGCTCTTGTCGCCTGCCCTCAATTACAAGTTCCCCGGCCTCTCGAGCGACGCGGAGGACACCCTGTCCCGCAAGCTGGATCACCTGAGCCTTTCGAGGCAGGGGGCCGGCTTCACTAGCGAAGACTTCTGGAAAGGAAAGGGAGAGCAGGAAATGCCTGAAGACCCCGAAGAATGGGCTGAACACGAAGACTACATGACCCAGCTGCTCCTGAAGTTCGGTGACAAAAGCCTCTTCCAGCAGCCTGCCGAAGGGGACGCGCCGTCGGGCGAGCACTGGGTTTCCGACAGCATGGTCAAGAGCAAGCTGGACCTGAAACAAAATAACCCCAGCCTAGCAAGTAAAAAGTACCAGGCAGACATGTACTGGGCGCAGTCGCAGGACGGCCTGGGCGACTCTGCCTACGGCAGCCACCCGGGCCCCGCCAGCAGCAGGAAGATGCAGGAGCTGGACCTGGAGGCCGGGGCCGCCGGCTACGCGCACGGCCGCGCCGCCTGGTACGGAGGCTCCCTCGAGTGCCTCGCTGACCTGAAGCAGCAAGAGCAGAGCGTCCGGGACTCCATGGACTCCTTGGCTTTGTCCAACATCACAGGTAACGGGGGGAAGGCGAGCGGTGCTCGTAGAGCTCAGAAAGTGGGTTGGGATGTACTGAACGCGGGCCGCTTGTATGTGCAACTTTTAAAAAGCTTTAGTAGCGAGCAATGTCTGTGAATGACGTGGAAGCTTTTTATCAAGCACATATTGCTCTACAAGATAAAATTCTGCTCTTGAAATTAAGACAGCCCAGCTCCTTCCATTGCTTATAATGTGCCCGGGAGAGGAGCTGCAATAGGGAAGCTGGCATTACCAGAAGCACGAGAGAGGATAGCCTTAAAAAGGACAAGCGTGGATTGCAGAGTGTTTTAAAATACTTGTGTCTCCTGGAAGCAGGGTTTGTGTCTATTAGAGCAGCTTAAATGTTTTTCATTCCTTCAAGCTTCTTTCCGTCTTGGTATCCCTAGAGTTAGCCCCTTCTTTGGGCAGCAGAGCTAATACTTAATATGAAGTCAAGTAAGAACATTTTGGGGTTGTTATAAGGCCTCCTTGTAATTAAGACAAACCCAACCTGCTGCTGCTTCCTCTTCCTAGCAGCTAAGCCGTGGCGAGTGGCTGTAGGCCAGGCCTGTGGCAGCGGGAGGGCCTTTCTGGCACTCGGCCTGCTCAGTCGGTTGATGCTCCCGCCGCTGCGAGGCCGCTCACCCCCGTGTCCCTGCTCCCTCCCTCCCCACAGGCGCCTCGCTGGACGGCGAGGGCAAGGCCCGGCCGTCGCTCTACTCCCTGCAGACCTTCCAGGAGCTGGAGGGGGAGGACTGCGAGAAGATGAGCAACATGGGCACGCTGAACTCCTCCATGCTGCACCGCAGCACCGAGTCCCTGAAGAGCCTCAGCTCCGAGCTGGGCCACGAGAAGGCGCTGCCGGAGGAGAAGCCGGCGCAGCTGCCCGTGCTCAGGAGGTCCAAGTCCCAGTCACGGCCGCAGCAGGTGAAGTTCTCAGATGACGTTATCGATAACGGCAGTTACGAGAACGTGGAGATCAGGCAGCCGCCCATGAGCGAGAGGACTCGGAGGCGGGTCTATCACTTCGAGGAGCGGGGCAGTCGGCCTCATCATCATCGCAGAAGGAGCAGGAAGTCTCGCTCCGACAACGCGCTCAACTTGGCTGCGGAGAGAAGGTGCTCTCCCAAGGAGAGGTTTCGCTTCTACTCTCCCCAGGATCACGAGAAATTCCTGCAAAACAGGAGCTCCCGGGAGCTCCGGGCGTACGTGCGGAGCGGGGAGCTCTACGGGCAGTACGCCCACACCGCCTCCGACTACGCGCTGCGCAGCCGCATGGCCGACCGGTTTTATGGACTGTACGGCGACGAGGACGACTCGTGGTGCTCGACTTCATCCTCGTCATCCGATTCCGAAGAGGAAGGGTATTTCCTCGGACAGCCCATTCCGCAGCCGCGCTCGCTGAGATATCCATACTACACAGATGACCTTTCTAGTCCAACTGGTGCGTTATCTAGTTCTCAGTTTGGACAAAGGACAACCAAAGCAAAGAAGAAGAGGGGACACAAAGGGAAAAACTGCATAATTTCTTAATTGGTTTTAACAGTCGGGAAGGTCAGTCAGTGCTGCCGCTACAGCTTGAGCAGTCCGAACCACGTCTTTTTATATTAATAATTGTACTTAGGCAAGTTGCTAAGGTTCCTAATGCTTTGCCAGTGTAAATTATAACCCCACCAGAGTTTACATTGTAAAGCTATCATTAAGAAGTGTCCCTGCGCCGGATGATGTGCTCGGACACGGCCGGGTCCCCGGTGTCGTGGTCGGGCTGTGGGAGCAGCCCTGGCCCAGGCGCTCCCCGCGCCCGCTGCTCGCCTGGTGGGGCAGGAGGTGTCCAGCAAAGACCAGGAGACACCGCGTCCCTCCCGCCTGGCGCTCTGCCCACCCTGCAGTCCTGGCTTCGCCAGGTCCCTCTTCCATGTCCCTCTTCCTCCTCACGGTTTCTCCACAGAAACTGGAACTTGGATTGGGAAAATCCCAAGCAGTCCTCCCCTAAGGAGGCGGCAGTCAACCATGGGCCTTGAAGCGCTCGGGGCCCTCCCAGGTCCCAAGGCAGCAGGAAGGGACTTGGCGCCGTCCTGGTTTTGCCTCCGCGTTAGGAGCTGGAGCGCTGGGTAAGGCAGGCGGGTGCCCAAGGGAGGCGCTCCCTGAGCCCGGACCAGGCTGCGTGTGAAGGGTCTGAGCCCAGCAGTGGGAGCGCCCGAGCAGCGGGGCCTCCTGCGTCCCCCCTCCTCCTCCTCCTGCTCCTCCTGCTCCTGCTCCCGGTGCCGGTGTCGGCAGGGCCGGAGGGAGCCGAGCGCGGCCGCCCCGCGGGCTGCTCCGTGAAGCCGCTCGTGCAGCGCACGTTTCCCAAGGGACCTGAAGCCGGGCGCTCCGCTCCCGCCCTCGGAATCGCCTTATCCACCTTCCAGACTCTGTCAGCTGCGATCCTGAGTGGAGAACAGCGGTATTTATAATGTAGTATTTGATAGGCTAAAGTGTATTCATAATTTAACGTGTACATACTGTACAGGTAAAATTTTAAAAGCCGAGTATTTTTATATCCCTGAGTTTGAAGAGCGGTTTGCTACGCGAGCGAGCTGGATTGGTCAGGGGTTTGACAGCAGCAGTTCGGATGAAATAAATATCACTTGTATTTTAGTCAGGGCTTTTAAGTATAAAAATGTTTTTAAATGTTTAGTGTAAAGCATCTTAATTTTGTCTCCTAGCTATTGAGAGCTCTGTATGCATGTGGGGCTTTGTAAATACTCTCTAAACTGCGGCCCTGGAGTCTCGCAACTGTTATTTATGGGTCAAGCAAAATGTAAACGCTGTGAATGTAACGGGCACGCGAAGGGGGAATACACCAGTACGGAGGGCAGCGGCTCCCGTGCACGTGCTCGTCTCGTCATTCCCCTCCCGCGGGGCAGGGCCCTTGGGAAAGAGCCCGGAGCCGCCTCGGAAGCCGCCGCTTCCCGCGTGTGGGGCTGCTTCCACAGGGAAGCACAATAACAGCCACGGTTCTCCCTTAACCAACCCCGAGCAAACGTCACGGAGGTGCGAGCAGGAAGATTTAATGCAGGGGCAAGGCAAAACAGAGCCTATTATCACTCGGGAATGAGAGCATCCCGTTAAGCCTTTCACAGAAACAGCATCTAGAAAAAAATCAAGTCTCCTTCGTTTATCAGTAAAATTTAATCATTTCTGAAAGCAGATGAATCTAAGAACCAGCTGATGGAAACTTCTGAGAGATCCTACCGACCTATTAGCTAATCTGAAAAAACAAACAGCCAAACCCCGTGAATATTGCAAGGATCCTGCTCGCAAGTCTGATTAAATTTCACTGTGGTGACAAAGGAGACTCCTAACACAACATACAGCCAAAATGGGCATTGTAAATCAATGTAAATCAAAAACAGTAAACATTTTTTTTTCCCTTAGCCTTTTCAACCCAAAATACAGCGGCGGGTGGTTCCAGGCGAGGCCCCAGGAGCAACGTGGGGCCTGTCCCTGCTGCAGGCGCGGGGGGCTCTGCGGCTGCGCGAGCAAGGCTCGCGCGTTCAGCTCTACTACCTGCTCTTAGCAAGGCCCGCGGGTTTAACTTTAGTACCTGCTCTTAGCAAGGCCCGCGGGTTTAACTTTAGTACCTGCTCTTAGCAAGGCCCGCGGGTTTAACTTTAGCACTTGCTCGTGTGCAAGTCTCACGGGGCTTAACGCCCGCCCTGAGCTGGTGCCGTCACTACCATGGGGCCAGGGCAGCTGGAGCCGCTGCAGCAGGAGAGGCCGGGAGAGGCCGGGCTGCTGCTGCAGCCCCTCTCCCTGTGGGGAGGCTGCGCAGGTGGGTTCCCCTGCCCCACACGGATGGGTTCCCCTGCCCCACACGGGTGGGTTCCCTCGTGCTGTTGGGGTGGGTTCCTCCGCCCCACGTGGGGGGTTCCCTTGCGCGGCGCTGCCCAGGACGCCCCAGTTCGCGCAGGTGCCGCCCGGGTCGCCCCGAGCCCCACGAGCGACCCCCACACCCAACGTGGGCCCCGCTGGCCCCCCGGCACCCGCTGCGGGACCCCCTGCCGGGCTGCACACGCGGGCAGCCCCACAGGGCCCCACGGGCCCCCCGGCACCCAGCAGGGCCGCTGCCGCTCGTTCCGCTCTCACCTTGACCTTCACCTGCCTGGAATCGCTCCTATGAACTCGACAGGCTCCTGCACAAGGGACGGAATTCACTGGCTTCTCCACTTAAAGACGCTCTGCGTTTCGGAGTTGGTGACCTCTGTCTTCAGGCCGTATATAGAGAGCTCTGCATACCGAAATATACACGTGCCAAGCAAGCGGCGCTTGTGCTCATCTCCGGCTCAAAGTCTCCCCATCTCCACAGGGTGCAGAAAGCGCCGCCTCCCGCTGCACGCGGCCACGCACCGCAGGCAGCGGCCGGGGGCCCGGGCACCGCTCGGCCCGGAGCGCCCATCCCTATCCGGAGCGCCCGTCCCCATCTGGAGCACCCATTCCCATCCGGAGCGCCCATCCCCCTCCAGAGTGCCCATTCCCATCCAGAGCGCCTGTCCCCATCCACAGCACCCAATCCAGAGCACCCACTTCCATCCAGAGCACCCATCACATCTCGCAGCACCCATTCCCATCTGGAACACCCATCCCCATCCCATGGCACTGGCACCTCCCTGGCCCTCGGGTCAGAGCCCAGTCCCGCCTCTATCCAAGCCGGAAAGGCCGCGGAAATCGGGGCAACTTGGGCTCAGGGAAGGAAGAGACAGTCCCACCCATAGCCCTTGTCCTGACCTTCCAAATTCCTGCCCCTTCTCCACGCCAGAACGAAGGATTGTTGGGATGCAGCCCTGCAGCCGCTGAAACCGGCCCATAAGGACCACCAAAAGGGGAAAGGGGGAGCGGGCGCCGGCCCCGCGCGCTGCACAGGCTGCTTGCGGCCCCCACGAAACCCAAACAGCTGCCAGCAGGAACGGCGGGACGGGGCTCATCCCTCCCGCACAGCGCTGCTCCCCAGCACTGACGCTCAGCACCGGGAACACCGGAATGCGGGAGGCATCCGCAGAACCTGCAGCTCAAAGCAAAAAGGAGCCGCTTCCCGCCGGGAACAGGGAAGGGCCGCGGCAGCCGCTGGGGATGCCACCCCCAGCATCACTTACAAAAGGAAGCTGAGGTTAAATTATCATAAATAACGTAAAATCCCGGTTGGGATCAGCCTGGCAAGGCGTCCTGCCGGATTACGAGGACAGGGCGCACTTCCGCGCAAGCTGACAAATGAAGAGCTATTTCTCGTTATTTTAATAAAAAATAGGGCGCTTTCAGTTACCCTTCTAAATACAGAAACGTTACATGTACATGGATCAGACGGAACATTTTTTCCTAGGTAACTGTGTAAAGTCCCCCAAATGGTTTGTCGCTTTCCAGCCTGATCGGAGCGAAAATCCTTCTCCAAGGAGCGAAGGGCAGCGAGTCCCGATGGGAAGAGCAGAAGCGGGGCAGCCCGGCAGGACCGCGGCGGGTCCAGCCCCACAGGCCCCACACGCGGGCCCCACACGCGGGCTCTCCTCCTCAATACGGGCCCTCGTGGAAGGCCTCCGGCACGTCCGGGTTGGCAGCATCGTACTGGGCGATGAAGAGCTTGAGCTCCTCGATGCAGCGCTCGCCGATCTCGTGCAGGTTCTGCCGCAGCGCGAACTGCACGGGCTTCTCCAGCGCCGGGTCCTTGTCGATGAGCATCTTCACGACCATGCCGAAGGTCTCGCAGTCCTGCCGGTACACCTGCGGGAAGCGGGCGGGAGCCGGTTAAACGTGGGAGCATCCCGAGTGTCCCGAATGTCCCGAGCATCCGGAGGAGCCACCGCGGCCCCAGGCCACGCAGGGAGCCCCGGATGGGACACGGGTTCCTGCTGCAGGAACATTCGTCCTCCCTGCACCTCCGACCCGCTCCAAAACCAGGAGCTTCTACAACCCCTGCCCAGCAGCTTCCCACCCACCTCCCCAGCGCCCGGCACCATCCCAAAGCTCCAAAGGCACCGGCCGCTTCCGAGCCGATTAATCCAGCCCCAGCAGCACAGGAAGGTGGCGGAATCCCCTCCGCTGCCAGCAGAGTGGGAATGGCGGTGGCGGAATCCCCTCCACTGCCAGGTGGTTTCACATCCTTCTGCTCCATTTCCTCTTGGAAAACTGCAGCCGGCTTGTGCTGGGACGCGGGGTTCTACCCAACACGGCCCTCCCATTTATCTAAATTAGGGACACAAATAACATCGTCACCTACCATTAATTCCTTGTCAAGCAAAAGGCCTGTTGTATTCATAGGGACGAGTCCAAGGGAGCTCAAGAAAATTCAAGGAAAAAGGGGCACTCCGACACTAAGGAAACCCTCTTGGACAAACGTTGATTAACGCCGTTAAGAGGGACCCTCTCGCAGTGTCTGATGTCAAACGCTTTATAGCCGTTGAAAACGGGACTCATTTTTCAACCCCCTGCTGACAGATAAGAGGGAGCCTTTCGGGAGCACCTAATTTTCAGGAGAGATTAATAAACCCGAAGGAAGGGAGCAAGCCAAGGCAAGGCCGAGCTCAGGACCCGCAGGAGCAGCCGGTGAGCGCGGGCTCTTCTTTCCCGACGCCGGTTCCTTCCCTGCCTTACGGATTCCGTGTTTCCAGCAGCCACACAACAAGGAATGCAGGCTCCACAGGGCTCATTTTTCACACCTCGTGAAACGCGGCACGAAGGGAACTTCAAACGGAGCAAAATTCGTTTCTTCTTTTTTTCCCCCCTTTTCAGATTCTTTCCAGTGTGAAAGCTGAGGACAAACCTCGTGCCTGAGCAGCCGTGGGGCGGGAGGGGGGAATTAGGGAATCCCCCCGGGGCCTCCGGCCCCTGCCCGGGCGGCTCCGGCCCCCTGTTCCCAGGTTGGGGCCGGATGCTCCGGGGGCAGCAGCTCCGGGACAGCTGGCAGCTCCTGAGCGCCCCCCTGCCTGGGTCACGCGGAGGCTCCGGATCCGGCCCCAGCTCCGGCGGCTCCGACACGCAGGGCTCCGCCTCGAGCGGAGTGCGGAGCTGCTCCTCCCGCTTTCTATCCCACAGGGAGCCCACACGGATCCAATCCTTTCATCTTTACATATAAATATTGGCCTAATCCAGGCAACACATTTTTTCCCCAAAACTTCCACAACAGGAGCCTCAATGGAGAATCAATGGGGTCATCGTCGGCATCCTCATCGTGTCTGGAGACAGAGAGGCTGTGAAAGGACCCAACAAGCTGCAGCCTAATGCGCTTGTGTTGCTTTTTTTGTGGCAAAAGCCCTCCTGAAGAAGGACGGCAAGGACGGCAGGGCTGCAACAGAGGGCAAGGGCAGGAAGCGGAGCGGGAAGGGCAATCCGGCAGGAGACAGCCAAGGAAGCGGCTCCGGCTCCTCCAGCCTGGAGCACCGCGCCGCGCCGCGAAGGCCACGTGCCCGGCTGTGAATTCCCTCCGAGCTGCTGCAAAACAGCACGGGGCCTTCGGTGCCCACATCCACGTCCTGCACAGCGGAGGCGGCGGCTGCTTCCGGCAATGGGCAGAGAACGGGAGAAGTGCCAGGGAAAAGGGAAGGCATCAGGGGCTCTGAACGTGCCCAGTCACCTGCTGGAAACCAGCTCTCTGCTGCAGGAGGATCCTGGGCGAAGCTGTGACCACTGCTTCAAAACAGCTACATCCCTAACATTCCATCAGATTTCGATTCGGAGCCCAGACCATGGAAAACTCATCCGTAAACATCTGGGATTCAACACTGAAAACGATTCCATGTGTGGGGAAAGAAGAAATAACATTTCAGTGTGGAGAGACAAGAAAGGGAATGATACCAACAGCACGGCTATTCTGCCTGATACATGTCAGGTAATCCCAAAAACATCTAAAGCCACAGGGCGATCATTTACTGAGGCCACCACATACTTTTAGTCTCTGATCTAAGCCACAGCACAAGCGTAATGGAAAAAACGTGGAGCGCTTTTGACAGGCACACGAGGGAGGTGCAGGAACAGTTGCTCTACTGAAAAAAAAAAAGTTGATTTACCTATGAAAATGTGCATAAAATAAACTCAAGATACCCAAAGTCTGCAAGCTTGGCACCCTTGAGCTCTGAGGATCACAAATATGACTATGATTCTATGATTTTTAAGGCATTTTAACTTTTTTTTTGTACATTAGAAGCCTAGAGGCTCCATATGAGATTAACACTCCAGCGTGCTATTCCCTGTACGAGCACTTGCGTATAGACCCAAATCCAAAGGTGGAACATGTTAGTTAACACCCCTATGTATATAACTAGACCAAGAGTTGCACAGTTAGAGCTTCTTAACTACAGGTAAAGGCCCAGCCAAACATCCGCCTCGAGTCCCCAGCTGGAGCAGCAGGAAACGTTACTGCCCACAGGCTGGATGGAGGAGATGGAGCCCTAGAACTCAGCGGCAGGACTCCCCTTTGGGAACTCCCGTCTCCCTAAGTCTGACCGTGTTTGAACCCTGTGTACGGATGCAATCGCACTCAGCTAGAAAACATCCTTATTCCCTCGACATCATTGTCTTTCCCTGCCTAGCACAGCCTTTTCTGAACTGATTCTGGAACTGTTTGCACGTTTCAACCAACGTAGCTGCTGGGTAACATACATCAACAGTAGTGAGAGAAGAAGAAACCAGAATTTAAGGCTTCCTTCCTTAGAGGAGACTATAGCCCACCGAAGAGCAGAGTCAGAAACAGTCTTTTTGGTCTCAGAAGTCTTGCATTCCTGTCTGAAGAGCAGCTTAATTTTAACAGGAGAAATAGGCACATAGTAACACATACTTGCTATGGAGACGAGGCCTGGAAAAATGGGGAAGCTGGAAAGGGGTATTCACAAACTAACCGCAGTCCATGGCAGTTCCTCTCTGCAGTCCATGCAAGGAAAGGTTTTCCCACTTTGAGGTGATTCAGAACAGCTAAAACCACGGCCTGGGCTGTAAGTAGCCTCTGGGGAAGGGGGAACACAAGAGAAGTTCCTTGACTATGAGGAGGGCCCACAGAAGACACAGCAAAGCACGGAGCCTCGGGGTGTCCTGTGTCCACAGCTCCCGGACAGCACAACCAAGCAGGAATTGGGAGGTGCAGATTCCCCCTCTCTCTCGCAGAATGGATTCAAGTGAACCTCCCTCTCTCCTTTCTGGGGGAGCCGCTCTCATGCACGTGCCTTAAACTAAAGTGACTTCATTGCTGCCTCCTCCAGCCATGAGTTCAACTGAACATGGCTTGACCGCACTGCTCTGAGCACACACGTAGGCACCACCTCGAATGGGAATGACCAAGGGCCTTGAGCACGCGAGGTGCTTTACACAAGAGGCTGGTCAATGCAGAGCAGTGCCTTAGATCTGTGAGCGCAGGGCAGGGCCGGGCCTCCCGGCACGAGGGCCACATCCACCCGGTGGATGTGGTCTCTTCGTAAGCAGAACTGATGCCTTCCATTTCACCTCAAGTTTCCGCTTTGTGAAACCTCCTAATCCCGTGTTCTTCCTCATCACACTCTGTCCCTCATTTTGAACCCCTCCCTTTATCCCCTGCATTTCCCAGACCCAGTTCTCCCCTCTCCCAGCACCGCTTTTCCGCAGCCCGGGACACAGCCTGCGGTGCCCGTGTTGGCTGGGCAGCCAAGAGCCCCAGTGCTGCGAGTCCCCGCTGACCTGGAGGCAGTGCCGCTTCCCGCACCCCATCCCAAGGACCAGGAGCCGCGGATCCGTGCACAGGCGGGAAGCGAAGGGCCCTCAACCCTGGGCAGATACCAGCTCCGTGCTACTAGGGTTCAGCTGGGACCTTCACAGGCTGGGACCTGGGTTTAAGCACCACACAGTTTGTCACCCCCAGAAGAAGGGTCCCTTTCAGTTACTAGCGGGCGCCTTTCCCACAGGTCTCAGATCCCCCACACAAGGCAGGGAGAAGCCATGTGCTCCGTGATGCTCCTCTGCCTCCTGTCAAAGGCTTGAGCACCTAGAGAGCAGGTTTGAGGGCCCCACCACAGCCCTGGAGACTCAGCTAAGGAGAGAGCAACTTGTCCCCAACTCCTCCTGCCTCAGCGAGGCCTCGGGGCTCCTCAGAGCCCTCCAGAGACCCTGGGGCTCCTCAGGGCCCTCCAGAGGCCCTGGGGCTCCTCGGGGCCTGCCAAGGCCTGGGACAGCGCTCTGGTGGCCACAGGAACCAGCTCCTTCCTGCCCAGGAGGGGCTCCGGGCCCTCAACGCGGCCCCATCTACCCCAGGCTTCCCCGCACGAGCGAGCTGGCGACGAGCAACAATGTTCCTGGTGTTTCTCCCACTCCTAACAGAGCTAGGCCACAGAACAAACGATCACGTAGGCCCAGCTCTAGGCCAAGTGCCCGCGTAGCCGCGTTTCACACGGCAGTGGTGAGTGCGAGCTCTAGCAAACTGGGAAGCTGCTGTAGTTCAAACACTCCCGTTATGAGAGTAGCTCCAGGGGACATCCTTGCCAAAGACATCTTCTGAAAAGAGCTATTAACTCTCTCCAAATCACTATTTTATACATACACAGTTTACACACGCGCAGCCCTACATTTTTCTCAGCTGTGCAAATTAGACTTTATTAAGCTAACCTAAATGTACTCTCCTCAAGTACAATGAGCTAATGGTGCCCTAAAAGCATAAACAGATTTTTCACTAGCACAGGGGGAACGTAACTGTACCGTTATGTTTATGTGTGCGAGAGCTCCACACTGAAAGGAACACTCAGAACTGGCTCGCAGGCAATTTCCGT